AGGTCCTCTTTCTTCTGTGGCAAGCATCTTATCCACTGAGCTCTGAGCTCTGAGGTTCCTCAATCTTTCAATATCTAATTAGAGGCCTTCTTTCTTGGAAAAATGCTTTGTACATGCTGGGATGGGCTAAGACTCACAACTTTCTTCTTTAAAAACCAAGATTTAAGGGCTCAATACAGCATCTTCATCTTTCAGAGTCTGTGGTATTGAGGATGTTTTGGACACAGGAGTCCTATCAGGGTCTTTCTGCTTTTTCCAGGCAAAGGTATACCTTCGTTCCTGCCTTCTGGCATACTTGAAGTAGCGAGGCTTGTTCTTTATCTGTTTTCCCAGTCTGTGAAGTCTTAAGTATCTCTAGTAACTTAACCTTGAAATAGAAAACTTGGGTTCAGCTTCTACCACTCTCAGAAAACAGTGAGTGTTTCTCTGTTGTTTTCTTTTACTCTTTCATGCTGTAAATATTGCTGGTACTCACTACTGTTCAACAGCTCTCACTACTCAAGATAGTGTTGCCTGTAAAATAGTTTTCCATGATGCTCATATGAACATGGAAACAAATATATATATATATATATATACATACATGCACACCCATATATAATGTATGTGTGCATGTATATGTATGTATTTATGTGTGTGTGTGCACATGTACTGTCAAATATCAAGACTTCAACTAACTGACATAAGCACCTAAACCTGAAAGACTATATCTCAGTAAAACAGCTCAAGCTTTCAAGATACTTTAATGAAGGCCTTCTCAAGGTGACATGGTCATTTGCACATGAGAGTGGCACTGGACTCCCAGAAAACAGGTGGTTAACAGTAATGGCCATTGAGAAAGAAGGTGCATGAACATAAAGGGTGGTTGCTTGAACGATTTTCTTTTATTATAGAACTGAAAGCATAAAGCAGTGCCACACTGTGGGAATACAAATTATCCTGTGAGAGCTTGGTGCTATGTAGAAGCACCTGCTTCACCAGAGCTTCGGTCTACTCTTATCTAACTCTAGAATGTTGTTTTCTCAGAAGAGCACTGAGACAGGAACTGCAGCACTAGTGTCTGGACTGGTGATATGGCTCAGTAGGTGAAGCTTCTTGCCACCAACGATGACGGCCTGTGTTCCATCCCTGAACTCCATAAGGTAGAAAGACAGAACTGCATCTGACAAGTGCCTCTAACTTCCACATATATGGTATACCATGTACACACACACACACACACACACACACACACTGGATAGTAGTGTCAGAGACCACAGTGGTAATTCAATATTTATATATACTGAGATTTTTTTCTTTAAAATAACTTTTTCTCTATTTACTTATTTATTTACTCAGTTTACATCCTGCTCACAGCCCCCCGCCATCATTCTCCCCTCAAACAACCTTCCCCTTCTTCATCCCTTTCCTTCTCCTCATAGAAGGGGAGGCTCCTCATGATCTCATAACTATTTTGCCTTTTACTTTTAAGCTAAAGAAAATGTACCATTTCTGCAAATTCCAAAATCCTGAAAATGTTACAAATATTACTGTATAGAATATATTTATTACTAGTCTTTTATATAGATGTGAGAATATAAACTGTTTGTAAATTATGTATAATTAGAACATTTAGTATCTTTAGCAACACTGTCAACTTTGGAAAACAGTGTTTGTGGTCTCATGTTGAGGCAGCCATGTTCAAGAGTTAGCAGCAAAATTGGTCTAGAAATGTTAAGAATCTCCCATTTGTACAGAGCTAACATAAGGTATTAACTATGTAAGGTATTACCTACAAGGGTTTGATTACAGAAAATAATAAAGAATTCTCTAAGTGAAAAAATGATCAAATACAGACAAGAGCATCTGTACTTGCAAACATGAGGCATGAAATTGATTTTCTCAATTGTTCTTAGTTTATATTTTCAAGCAAGTATACTGATTCACTTTAAATATTGACATAGTTTGCCACGCTAGGTTGAACAGTTGTAAGCCTGGGTGTTAAAGACAGGCCTTATCTTTCAGTCTTAGAATACAGCCAGCCAAAGATTATGATCAAAACTGGACAGAGGCTTTCTTCACCTAATATATTACACTCTCAGCCATTATTAAAATTTGATTTAACAGTATAAAAAATCATAAATTAGACTCTATTTTTATCTCTATGTAATAATTATTAAAACATGATAGGAAGTCTCTGATGAGAAGGAACAAAATCAAATTTAGTTTTACTATTTTTAAATTTTTACTCATTTAATTTTTTTTATTCCTCTGACAAGTGAGAGGCTTTTTTGTTTGTTTATTTGTTTTTTTATTTAACTTTTATTAATTACACTTTATTCATTTTGTATCCCCCCATAAGCCCCTCCCTCCTCCACTCCCGGTCCCACCCTTCCCCCCTTTCTGCATGCATGCCCCTCCCCATGTCCACTGATTCTGGAGGTCCTCCTCTCCTTCTTTCTGATCTTAGTCTATCAGTTCTCATCAGAAGTGGATGCATTGTCAGGGTTCTAGGTTATCTCCATGAATAGTCCTTGGTTGGAGTATGAGTCTCTGGGAAGTTCCCTGTGTTCAAATTTTCTTGTTCTGTTGCTCTCCTTGTGGAGTTCCTGTACTCTCCAGCTCTTACTATTTCCCACTTCTTACATAAAATTTCATTCACTCTGCCCATCATTTGGCCATGAGGCTCAGCATCTGCTTTCACAGTCTGCATGGCAGAGGCTTTCAGAGGCCCTCTGTGGCAGGTTCCGAGGTTGTTTCCTGTTTTCTTCTTCTGGCTTTCAGAAGCCCTCTGTGGCAGGTTCCTAGGTTGTTTCCTCTTTTCTTTTTCTTCTGATGTCCATCCTCTTTCCCTTTCAGGATGGGGATTGAACATTTTAGTTAGGGTCCTCTCTTTTGCTTAGTATGTTTAGATGTACAGATTTTAGTGGGTTTATTCTATGTTGTATGTTTATATGAGTGAGTATATACCGTGTGTGTCTTTTTGCTTCTGGGACAACTCACTCAGGATGATCCTTTCCAGGTCCCACCATTTACCTGCAAATTTCATGATTTCCTTATTTTTCATTGCTGAGTAATATTCCATTGTATAGATGTACCACAGTTTCTGCATCCATTCTTCAGTTGAGGGGCATCTGGGCTGTTTCCAGCTTCTGGCTATTACAAATAAAGCTGCTACAAACATGGTTGAGCAAATGTCCTTTTTGTGTACTTGAGCCTCATTTGGGTATATGCCTAGGAGTGGTATGGCTGGATCTTGAGGAAGCGTTATTCCTAGTTGTCTGAGAAAGCACCAGATTGATTTCCAGAGTGGATGTAACAGTTTACATTCCCACCAGCAATGGAGGAGGGTTCCCCTTTTTCCACAACCTCTCCAGCATGTGTTGTCACTTGAGTTTTTCATCTTGGCCATTCTGATGGGTGTAAGGTGAAATCTCAGGGTTGTTTTGATTTGCATTTCCCTAATGGCTAATGAGGTTGAGCATTTCTTTAAGTGCTTCTCTGCCATTCGATATTCCTCTACAGAGAATTTTTTGTTTAGCTGTGTTCCCCATTTTTTAAGTGGATTACTTGGTTTGCTGCTTTTCAGCTTGTTTAGTTCTTTATATATACTGGATATGATTCCTCTGTCAGATAAAGGGTTGGTGATGATTCTTTCCCAATCTGTAGGCAGTCATTTTGTTTTGATGACGGTGTCCTTTGCTTTACAGAAGATTTTCAATTTCATGAGGTCCCATTTATTGATTGTTGCTCTTAGAGCCTGTGCTGTTGGCGTTCTGTTCAGGAAGTTTTCTCTTGTACCAATGAGTTCTAGGGTATTCCCCACTTTTTTTTCTAGCCGATTTAATGTGTCTGGTTTTATGTTGAGGTCTTTCATCCACTTGGACTTCAGTTTTGTGCAGGGTGATAAGTATGGATCTATTTTCATTTTTCTAAATGTAGACATCCAGTTGGACCAGCACCATTTGTTGAAGATGCTACCTTTTTTCCATTGTATGGTTTTGGCATCTTTGTCAAAAATCAGGTGGCCATAAGTGTGTGGGTTTATTTCTGGGTCTTCTGTTCAGTTCCATTGATTCACCATTTTGTTTCTATGCCAGTACCATGCAGTTTTTATGTATATAGTGTGTGCTTTTATGAGTTTATGTATACCACATATATACAGCAACCTACAGAGTTTAGAAAAAGGGATTAAAATCTCCTATAATTTGAGTTAAAGGCAGCTGTGAGTCACCATGTGGGCCAGAACCTGAATATGGCTCCCTTGAAACAGTATTAATTGCCCTTAGGTGATAAATCATCTCCTCAGCTCCTTATTGTTTATTTTAAATAATGCACAGCAAGGCATTGGCGGTGCATGTCTTTGATCCCAGCACTCAGAAAGCGAGGCAGATGAGGTAGAAGCCAGCCTATTATACAGTGTGAGTTGCAGGACAGCCAGGGCTACACAATGAAACCTTGTCTCAATTAATTAATTAAAAAATAATGTGTGTGTAAGTGCAGATACCCATAACATTGAAGCCACTGGGGCTAGAGCTACAGACAGTTGTGAATCACCTAATACCAGTGCTAGGAAGTGAACGCAGCTTCTTTGAAACAGCAGGACATTTTACATAGCCACCAAGTTTTTACTCCACTGTCCATCATGGAATTTTTAACAACTAGGTGTTTGTGTCTTCTCTCCACAGAGAAGAAAAAATATCGGCATCTAATTCCATCTACTTTTATTGGTTAAGTGTTATCAGCACTGAAACTGGACTAGTCTGAGCACACGTAAATGCATCCATTGGTACCCACACTTATCCACTCACCATAAAACATATGTGTTGTATATATGAAGATAGGGACCACATACAGGCAGCATGTAAGCCCATGCAATAAGACAGCATGACAGTCTTAAAAAGAAATGGGGACAAGAACTGGGGAGGCCATGCAAGGTCTAAAATGATCAGATTTTTTTTGGAGATTTTATGTATAGAAATATTATTTTATCTTTTGGAAATTAGAATTTTCCAACTCACCTTCATATAACCAGTCAGCAATCCCATTAAAAACAATTCCTTCTTTTCCTGAAGATGTCAGTCGCAAAGAACTGCTCTTGATATCAGGTTGATAGTAGATATTGTTTTCAAAAATATAAATCTGAATTAGGAAACATAGGAAGAAAACGAAAGTCCAAACATGTTAGTATGCCTTTCTTTAATTATTATATTATGGAATGATCCCTGGATGACTAACAGTTTTATTTTCTACCTGTTTTCAAACTGATATCATTTTATGTTTATATTTATATGGCACTGAAAGATTAATACCTATATATCCTTTCTTACTTTATAGATATTTCAAAATTACATGGCATTTATACTTTCAAATCTATATATTCATCAATGATATTTCATCTACCTAATGATGCTTATCTCATATTACCAAATTATTTTGTCTGTGAAATGATATTTTGCAAACTCAAGAGACACTAGATACTATTTTAGTAACATAAAACTGTCTCTTTGCAAAGCTTCAATGTTAGGTCTTTGCTTCCATAGCAATATGTTTGGTGTACTCCAGCTCATAACTCCATCAGAAGATGCCTGCTCTACTGCAGGCCACACTAATACTAGGATTCCCAGGTAAGACACAGACTGCCTCTCACTAATACCCCTTATACCCTGCCCAGCACTCCATAATAGCAGTCCCTCTCTTGGGCTCTATATCTCATCCCACAACCCTAGAAAGGACTCCCACTCTACTGGAGGCCATGCGAATACTGGAAATCCCTGTCCCAGCTTCCTTCAGCCGCATATTCTGGCCCAGAGCTCTGGCATTAGACTCCAGGTACTTCGAACTCCAGAGGCCACACTGCTATCCCAAACCCCAGGGCCATTCTAGTTCACAGAACTCCAGAACCCCAGAGGCAACACAAACACCCAAAATCCCAGAGGTCACACAGAACACCAAAACCCCAGTTGAGACACACTACTGGACCTGAAGTCTTGTTGGTCACCAGAAACACGGACTATGCAGATGAGTAGAACAGAAAGCAAGGGAAAACATAAAAAGCAAAAACAAAACAAATCAAATAAATCAATCCAACAAAGACAACATCAGATATCAGCCCCTAAAAATATAATGACCCCAAACGCAGATAACTAGAGGGCAGCATAAGAACACAATCAACAACAGCAAGAGCAATATGGCAGCACCAGAACACAGCTATCCTATGACAGTAAGCCCTGGATATTAACACCACTAAAGTACAAGAAAATGTTGTTAAAAATATCCATATGAAGATAATAAAGGCACTTAAAGGGAAATAAACAAATCCCGTAAACAAATCTAGGAACACACAAACAGATGAAGGAAATGATTAAACATGGTAAGACCTAAAAATGGAAATAGAAACATTTAAATAAATCACAAGTTGAGGGAACTACAGATACAAACATCACCAACAGAATACTAGAGATGGAAGAAAGAATTTTATGTGTAGAAGATACAAATTTATGGGGCACAATGAAAGCAATATTAAGAGGATAGTTCTCAGCAATAAGTGCCTTTATAGAGAAATTAATCTCATACTAGAAATTTAAAAACACACCAGAAAGCTCTAGAAAAAAAAAAAAAAAAAGAAGCAAGTATATCCAAGAGGAGTAGGTACCAGAAGAGAACCAAAATCAGGATTGAAATCAATAAAATAGAAACAAAGAGACTATACAAAGAACCAATGAAACAAAGAGTTAGTTCTTTAAGAAAATAAACAAGACTGACAAACCCTTATCCAAACTAAAAGACAGAGAAAGAATGCCCCAAATTAACAAAAACAAAAATGAAATGGGGTTAAAACAATAGATCCGAAGAAAATTCAAAGGATCATTAGATCATACTTCAAAAATCTGTACTCCACAAAACTTTAAAAGATCTCAAAGAAATGGAAAATTTTTTAATAGGTATCACTTACCAAAATTAAATCAAGATCAGATAAACAATTGAAATAGACCAATAAACCCTAAGGAAATAGAAGCAGTCATTAAAAGTCCCCAACAACAACAACAACAAGCCCAGGGACAGATTGTTTTAGAATAAAATTCTCATACTTTGAAAAAGAAACCCTAATACTAATACTCCTCAATGTATTCCATAATAGACAAACTTAAGAAACATTGCCAATTCACTTTATGAGACCATAAATACCTGACTACCAACCCACATAATGATTGAACAAAGAGAATTACAGACCAGTTTCTCTCATGTTAACATACTCAATAAAATTTTCACAAATCAAATACAAGAACACATCCAAAACATCATCCACCATGATCATGTAGGTTTCATTCCAGAGATACAGGGATGGTTCAACATTCAAAAATGTAATTCATCATATAAACAAAAACAGACAAGAAAACCCACATGATCATCTCCTTAGATGCCAGAAAATACCTTTGATAAAATCCAGTATTCCTTCATACCTAACATCATCATCATCATCATCATCATCATCATCATCATCATCATAATAAAATATACAGAGAGCCAATGGCTAACATCAAATTCAATGGAGAGAAACTCAATGCAATTCCACTAAAATCAGGAACAAGACAAGGTTGACCACTTCCACCCCATATTAATTTAATATAGTACTTGAAGTTCTAGCTAGAGAAGTAAGATAACTAAAAGACATCAGGGGGATACAAATTGAAAAGGAAGAAGTTAAATTAAAACTATTTTCATTGTTATGATATGGATCCCCCAAATCTATGAGCGAACTCCTATGACAGATAATAAAAACCTTCATCAAAGTGGCTGGGTAGAAGCTTAACTTAAAAAAAAAATAAAAAAGAAAGAAAGAAAAAAGAAAAAGAGAAAAAAAGCAATAACCCTTCTATATACAAATGATAAATAGGATGAGAAAGAAATTAGTGAAACAACCTGCTTCACAATACTCACAAATGATATAGAATATCTTGGCGTAAGTTCAACCAAGCAAGTAAAAGACCTGTATAATAAGAACTTCATAGTCAAAAATCAACTATCTGTAGCTGTGTGGGTTTATTTCTGAGTCTTCTATTTGATTCCATTGATCCACCATTCTGTTTCTATGCCAGTATCATGCAGATTTTATTACTATTGCTCTCTAGTTCAGCTTGAGATCAAGAATGGAGGTACCTCCAGATAATCTGTTGATGTACAGGATTGTTTTAGCAATCCTGGGTTTTTTGTTTTTCCATATGAAATTGAGAATTATTCTTTCAAGGTTTGTAAAGAATTTTGTTGGTATTTTGACGGTAACTGCATTGAATCTGTAGATTGCTTTTGGCAGTATGGATATTTTCACTATGTTAATCCTATAGATCCAAGAGCATGGGAAATCTTCCTATCTTCTGTTATCTTCTTCGAAGAAATGCCAAGGTAAATAAACCCACACATTTACAGATACTTGATTTTGACAAAAAAAAAAAAAAAAGCTAAAACCATCCATTGGAAAAAAGACAGCATCTTCAAAAAATTTTTGGTGCTTGTCTAAATGGATAAATGGATGTCTACATGCAGAAAAATGCAATTAGATCCATATTTATCACCCCGCATAAAACTAAAGTCCAAGTAGATCAAAGACCACAACATAAAACCGGACACACTAAATATTTCAGGGGAAAATTGGAGAAGAGCCTAAAACTCATTGGCACAGGAGACAGCTTCCTGAACAGAACACAGAACACAAACAGCACAGGCTCTAAGATGAACAATCAATGTTTGGGACCATATGAAACAGAAAAGCTTCTGTAAAACAAAGGACACTGTCATCAGAACAAAATGAGTGCATACAGACTGTGAAAGGATCTTTGCCACCCCTGTATGTGACAGAGGGTTAATATCCAAAATATACAAAGAACTCAAGAAGTTAAACAGCAACAAATCAACTAACCAATTAAAGAGTGGGACACAGAGCTAAACAGAGATTCTCAATAGAGGAATATCGAATGGCAGAGAAATGCTTAGTCAACAGGGAAATGCAAATGAAAAGGACCTTGAGATTTCACCTTATACCCATCAGAATGGCTAAGATCAAAAACTCAAGAAATAATATATGCTGGAGTGGATGCGAAGAAAGGGGGACCCTCCTCCACTGCTAGTGGGAACTTAAACTTATACAACTACTTTGGAAATCAATCTGGTGCTTTCTCAGAAAATTAGGGATAGTGCTACTTCAGGATTCAGCTATACCACGCCTAGGCATATATCCAAAAGATACTCAAGTATGTAACAAGGGAATTAGCTCAACCATGATTGTAGCAGCTTTATTTGTAATAGCCAGAATCTAGAAACAACCCAGATGTCCCTTAACAGAGGAATGGATTAAAAAAATGGTGGTACATTTACACAATTGAATACTACTCAGCAATTAAAAACAAGAAAATCATGAAATTTTTCTGGCAAATAGTAGGACTAGAAAAGATCATCCTGAGTGAGGTATCCCAGAAGCAGAAGAACACACAAGGTATATACTCACTTATAAATGGATATTATAAATATAATATAGGATAAACACATTAAAATCTGTACACTTAAAGAAGCTAATCAAGAAAGAAGACCCTGGGTGAGATGATCAGTCCTCATTTAGAAAGGCAAATAGTATAGACATTGGGATAGGGAAAAAAAAAAACAGGAACAGGACAGGATCCTACCACAGAGGGCCTCTGAAAGACTCTATCCAGCAGGGTATGGAGCAGACACTGAAACTCATGGCCAAACCTTGGTCAGCGTACAGGGAATCTTATGAAAGAAGGGGGAAATAGGTAGACCTGGAGGGGACAGGAGTTCCACAAGGAGGGCAACAGAACCAAAATATCTGGGGCCAGGGATATTTTCTGAGACTGATACTCCAACCAAGGTCTATTCACGGAGCTAATGTAGAACTCCTGCATAGATATAGCCCACAACAGTTCAGTGTCCAAGTGGGTCTCTAGTAAGGGGAACAGGAGCTGTCTCTGACATCAACTCGATGGCAGGCTCTTTTATCACCCTCCCCATGAGGGTGGGTTGGAGCCTTATCAGGGCACAGAGGAAGACAAAGCAGCCAGTCCGGGTGAGACCTGATAGGTTAGGGTCAGAGGGAAGGGGAGGAGGACCTCCCCATCAGTGGACTGGGG